GCCTTGAGCGGAGGCCACAGCTGTCCAGGGCAGGTGGGAAGCTTGGCTTCCTCCATCGCCAGGGCAACCAAGCCTCCTGCTTGCTCCAGCTCTGTGGCTGCCGGCAGACATCTTGGTTGGGTTAATTTGAATATAGTCACTCTGATTGGCTGGTGGGTGTGGCTTGGGTGTAGCAGAGGTGCAGTCAATTTGCATTTTCTCTTTTATTAGATTAGATATTGGAGGTGTGATATAACAAATTTTATCAATGGATGTATGCAAACCAAAATATTTAGAGACCACTGGACCAGCCCATACAACACTGCATCTTATATGTTAGGGGACTATGTTACAGAGAATATCTGAATTATGTTCACTGTTACTGCTATAGCTGGGGCCACTCTAATTTCCGATGCCATTGTTCTTGCACTGCAATGCAGATTCTGGGTGCTGCTTATTCTAATTATTTGTGTACATCCCTCTCCCTCACTGAATCATAACAACTGGGTCTGTGTCCTCTTCATCATTTCATCCCCACAGTACCTGTCACATACAGTTCTTTGCTTATAGCAGACCATCAATAAATGTGTTGAGAGCAAATAATGTAACCATTTATGTGAAGCATAAAGTAAGCTTCACTGAGCAGTCTCTGGCTTTTTATGGCTGAGTACTGACATTTCATTATTTCAGAATTTTTTATTTTTACACACAAAAAAAGAGTTGAATCAATCTTAAAGCCCTAGAGCCAAAAAAGTTAGAGGATACTTAATGGCACAGTACACTTTCTGGAGATTTAATTCAGTAACAACAGGACTTATCTTGGCCTATATTTGGACATGTTATTGGCCAGTGTCAGAAAATAGAGTCTCCTCAATTAGGAAGAATTCTGGTTATTACAAGTACTTAGAGGCATCACTTGATTCACAGTATTTGACTCAAATGTAAACAAGAATCATTATAGGATGAAGTAGTTTCTGATGATTTGTATTTTTAAAAAGGAAGAAAACAATAAATTTGAACGCTCAAATTTGAACACCCATACCTGCAACCAATTTAAGAACTACCTCTCTTAAATTATTGAGGTAGTTCTGGCTATAGGAATTTTTTTTCTGGGCTCTTTATGAAGAGAGTGAAAAATTGTCAATAAAATTTTAAAAAATTGTGGTTGTGAGTATACAATAAGCTACCATTTCTTAACCAGTATAGACCTTGTATTTCTAAGAAGAAGAGTCCCCATTAAATTTTTATCTGACAAGAATAAAAATTTAGAAAATAGAGGGTTAGGGGGAAACAACTAAAATAGCATTAAAATAGTTTTTAAAAGTCAATTATATTTCAATTTAAAAAATGTTGTTTTGTTCATCCTCACCAGAAGATATTTTTCCATCAATGTTTAGAGACAGTGGAAAGGAGGGGGAGAGACACACAGAGAGAAATATCAATGTGAGAGAGAAAGACACATCGATTGGTTGCCTCCTGCACCTGCCCTGAACAGGACGGGATCAGGACTGTAACCGAGGTACATGCCTTTGACTAGAATCAAACATGGGATTATTTGGGCCGATGCTCTGTCCACTGAACCATACAGGCTAGGGCTAAAAAAGTTTTTTTTTTTTAAGTCACAATAAATAAAAAATTCAAGAAGAAAACTGTTTCATCAGCATAACAATCTGTTCCAGAATCACCCTTTTTTTTTTAATACAGATCCTGCCTCCTGTTTATTTGTACAAATAGTACAGGAGGGCACCAGCTCCATGTACACAGCAGCCCAGGATCACACCAGTCCTTCCATTCTCACATTGGGAGACAGAGACCTCTACTATGGAGCCTTCATAGGCGCACGGCACCTTTGGGAGCCGGAGCCTGAGCCTGCACCTGAGCGGCAGCCACAGTCACAGATGCAGCCTGGAGCTTGGCATGAGCCTTGGCCTTGGACTTTGGCCGGCAGAGCCTGAGATCCCTGGCGATGTGGGCACAAGCACGTTCTCCAAGCTTGGGTGAGCGAAGTAGGCAAGTCGACAGAGCTTGCAGTTTCCATCCTTTGGGATCTTGGTCTTGACCTCCTTGGGCATCACGAGGGCCCTTCCCATTGTGCTTCTTGGCAAAGCACGTGTCCCTCAGGAACTTGGGGTCAACCCCCTTAAGAGATTCGTGTCTTTGTGATTGGGGTTTCTTGATGCTGGTTATGTGTGGGGTGGTTCTTGGATTTGGCCATATCTGCAGCGGAGCCTGCAGCTCTCGAAACACCTGGGATTGTAAGAGAAAGAGCCAGAAGCATCCTCTTTAATTGATCAGGAAACATTGCTGTTGGCTTGATGATCTGCTGAGGCCATAGATTTTGTTTTATGTGTAATGTGTGTTCTTTAATATTTCCCAAGCCAGTCCCCACTGGCTTGAAATGTAATGTCTTGTGCTCTGGCGTTCTTGTTTTGCTCTTGTAGGTCTTGGCAAAATGCTAAACTCCTCACCAATTATTGTGGTGCTCACGGGCATGCTTTCCTGGCTTGATTTTCTGGCCATGCATTGAGAGAGTTAAGTGTAAACAAATCTCCTCACACCACTACACAGACTTGCCCTCCTGAGAAGCAGGGGTGGGGGTTGGGGAACAGTGTTCACGGATGAGCAGCTTTAAACATGTGGGATGACAAGATCAAACCAATTGCCTCAAAGCCACTGCTCGAAAGGAATTATGATATTCAGATATCTCCCTTTCTCCTTTTAAGGTTCTTGAGGGCAGTATTTTTTTTAACATATATTTTTATTGCTTTCAGAGAGGAATGGAGAGAGAGAGAGAGAGAAACATCAATGATGAGAGAGAATCATTGATCGGCTGTCTCCTATCCTACTCACCCGCCACTGGGGATTGAGCCCACAACCTGGGCATGTGCCCTGACCAGGAATTGAACCATGACCTCCTGGTTCATCGGTCAAGGCTCAACCACTGAGCCACGCTGTCCGGGCCGATGTTTCTTAAAAGGCTTGAGATTGCCCCTCAACATCCCCCAGAATCCTCCTCGACTCCTAGTTTTGCGGGGGAAGGAGGAGCTGGGGGAGCAGCGTTGGTAAAGCCATGATCTAGAACAGGTCAGGCTCAGGTGGGCTCCCAGCTCCAGAACTTTCTAGTCGAGTCACCTTAGCAAGCCGTCTCTCCCCTCTGAGCCCGCTTCCTCACCCACACACGGGGAGCGTCAGCCCTCCCCCGCGAGGGCGCTGTCAGGGTCAGACAGCGGAACATGCACACAGGCCGCCCGAGGGGCCAGTGAGGCACGTGCTTGGGGACCCCCTAAAAATAAGGCCAAGAAAGCAAGAGCCTTGCAATACTCTATATTTTTCAAGGCAGATATTACATCACCAAGTATCTTAAATGACATCAATCTTTTTTCAAATCCCTCTTTTTCTACTCTATATTTTTCAAGGCAGATATTACATCAATGTAATATCTTAAATGACATCAATTTTTTTTCAAATCCCTCTTTTTTTTTTTTTTTATCCTCACCTGAGGGTATTTTTTCCTTTATTTTTAGGCAGAGTGGAAAGGACGGGGAGAGACACACAGAGAGAAACATTGATGTGAGAGAGACACATCAATTGGTTGCCTCCCATACCTACAACCAATCAATGTACGTATCCTTGACAGGAATTGAACCCAGGCCCTTCAGTCCACAGACCAATACTCTATCCATTGAGCCAAGAGAGATTTGGCTAGGGCTCAAATCCCTCTTGACTTGAGGTGAAAGGGGGAGTTCTGAGGGTAACAACCCATCCTGGTTTGATCCCTGACCTCCTGGTTCTCCTGGTTTATAGATTGATGCCCAACCACTGAGCCATCATGGCCAGGCTCATTATTATTGTTTTTATTATTATTGATTAAAGTATTACATATGTCTCTTTTTACCCATTGGCCTCTCCCCAGCCATTCTCCCCACCCCCAGCACATGCCCTCAACATTATTTTTTAATGGTTCCAAATTTTTCCATTTGATAGACTGGCAGGTGTGACTCAGTTGGTTGAGCATAGTCCCATGCACCAAGAGGTTGCTGGTTTAGTTCCCAGTCAGGGCACATGCCCGGGATGCAGGCTTGATTCCCAATAGGGGGGGCATGCAGGAGGCAGCTGATCATCAATGTTTCTCTCATCCTTTCTTTCTAAAAAGTAAATTTAAAAAATATTCCATTTTATGGATATACCTGAAATTAACAAACATGGTACCTATTGATGAACACATAGGAT